GATTCGTCGGGACTGATGTAGTAGTTGCAGTTGTTGTAGGAGTAGGAAGGACTGTAGGCATTGCCGAAAGAAGAGCCGCGACGCTGCTGTTGGGACGCGGGCGTAGGCGGCGTATTCGCGCTTCTTCCAATGGGATATTCGTAGTTGATACCTTCCAGCTCGGCGCCACTTGAGGCCTCCACTATATTCCACATATCGCGGCCAATATCAGCGGGCACAGAAGCCACAGCGGTGACCGTCTTGTTAATGTTGTTTAGGCAAGGTGTTATAACGCCGCATTTTGGCGTCGATTGCGAGTTCTTGAGTGATTGCTGTTGCTGGCGTAACCAAATGGGAGAATCTGAAAAATATATTAAATGAAACGTTTTTTTTTTTTGTATACAATTTCTAAATCTGTGTTCGTATGGAAAAGTAGCTTATGTCGAAAGGCCGGCTTTAGTATAATGCGGCATTCCCTTTATTTTTTTAACGACAAGGAATTTTTTGATGAGACTTAAAAAGAATATTGACTTGCTAGTATCGGAACTATTTCTTGCACGTTTATTTGCTAAAAGTTGTTAAACGGCTTAGCGCCCGTAAGTCATTCGCAATCGTATGCTGCGAAGGCCGATTTATACTAAAGCCAGCCTTTCGACATAAGCTACTTTTCCATACGAACACAGAAATAATATTCTCTTTCATTCTAGTTACCTACCTATATAAATGCGTGGTTGCAGCGAGTTGCGCAAACTCGCCTCTATGGATTGTAGGCGGTGTTGACTTGCCAGCGAGAAGCGATGCATTGGATCCACTACTGGCTCAACCTCAATGCCCATTATCTTCAAAAGCAAATTTTTTAAAGCCAGTCTGAAATCCTTTAAATGATATGCATACAGCACAGGGTTGCCGGCCGAATTGAGGTGAGAGAGTATAATACAGAAAAGTGTCAGCTTGCCAGGCACCTGACAGTCGGGGCAGAACGCCTTGATACAGTTGATGGTGTACAGCGGAAACCAACAGATCATGAAGAACAACACAATAATGGAGAGATTTTGGGTAGCTTTCACATCGCGCTTGCGTGAAGCGCCTAAGACGCGTAGCATAGTGCCGCCATGTGGCCGACCAGGTGTTATTTGGACTTGTGTGTTGGAAGAACGGCGGCTACTATTACTCGTCGGATTCATTGTGACTATTTGGCGTACCTGTAGAGGTAAATCAATTTATTGTTGTTAAATTCGAAACGCACTCTTTTAATAAAATTTAAAATTTTGTATGAAATATACTTATGAGTTGCGACTTTTGAAGATTTTCGAATTTAAGGTAATTAACTAAATTAACTTTTAATATTTAAAGTAACCACCCACCTGTTTGACGATGACGCGATAGATGTGCGTATAGAAAGCCAACATTAGCAACGCCGGTGTTATTATGGTTGCAAAGTACAGAAACACCAAATAATTGTAATCCATTACTTTGACAAAATGACAGCTCATATCCGCTTGGTTTTCGGGCTTCACATGCCAACCAAACAACGGTAGAAAACCCACAATTGTGCCAGCGACCCAACACATCGAGATGATTACTGCAAAGAAAGTGAAAAACAATTAGTCTATGAGTAATGAGTATAATGAGAAATAAAAAGAAAAAAGTGAAATGCCACAAAAAAAAACCACGAAAGGAATAATGAACCGAACTTTTATTCAAGGAAATTAGTAACGTCATAGCGGAAGCCGCATATTGGGGTATTTATGTACAGCGTATATTTTCATATACGAGGGCCACCTGATAGTTCTGTTTTAATTCAAAGTGTTTTTTATTTTTATTTTTTTAAATTTTAATTATTTTATTTTTACATGAATTCCAATGAGCCCATTCAGAGAATTATCTTACCCATACGAAAAATGTTGTAACTTAAAGTTGTAGGTCCTTCTACTTACTATCACTCTGTAGGAACCAAGTTTGGTGTCTGATCTAATCCAACACCAATAAAACTTGATCTGAAATATTTCTCACACACGCTGGAAAGTGGTTAGCTGGACCACATGGCCTTACTTAAAGACCACGCATCGATTACCAAACCAGTAGATAGTGATGAAGGGCAAGTTCGCTTACAGATTCGGTCTCCTAACGAGGCAAAAGCAGCCGAGAATGGTTGCGCCAGATACACTACCGAGCCAAACTCTCTACCAAAAAGGGTAAACGAAGCTCTCAGGCTATTCGCCGACCAGCTCAGTTAAGAAGGGCCAGAAAAAAGGTTTCACGATGGAACAAAACAAGGGTTATCGTCCGTCCAAGGGTGACTTCCAAGAAAGCAATAAGTGTCATAAGAGGCTACAGGCTAATTTGCATCATGATAAAGGGCCATTGGCCATGTTATGCAGGTTAGGCAGCATACACAGAATCACTATTGACCTATTCGAAGAACTCTGGTGCCATGCAAGTCAAATAAAAGATCTGAGCCAGTCACGTCGGTTAATATATGACTTCTTGAGTTGATTTCCTGTTCGTAGAGAATTTTTTTTAGGCACCCCCTTTCTTTCCAGAAATGTTGCAGCTCAGGCCATCGGTGTGCATCCGTCCTTACTACACCACCAATGGAAATCCAGAAACTTGTCGAATATTGTCGACTCACAAACCGTCGATCCAACAACTGCTGTGGGACAGCACCAAAAACAATGCATCGGTTGATACCCCTGAATTTATATGGGATTCGCCTGTTCGGAACGAAGCATCGCTCTCGAATTACCAGGTTCGAGATCACACGGCGATCAAAACTTCGCGAATTCGCTCCTAAAAGAATAAACTGGGACTGCGGGAAGGTCACTTCAATTCAACGAATACATGTCAATTGAATCTCTGCCCGAGACCTTCTCTTTGCTAAAAATTCCATCGAGCCAGCGGTTGCTTTGTGACACGAGAAGCTCTCACATAGTAACTAGCCTTACCTTTATCTTTCCTTCACTTAAGTCGTTGACTTACTATGTCCGAGAGTCATCTTGAAGAAAGATTCCTTAAGATGCTTTATGTAAAACATATGCGCCCCGAACTAATCGCGTCTAAAGTTAAGTAGAGCCGCAGCACTTAGATGTGGGCTACCACAAGTGTTGAAGAAAAAGCTTCTACTCGCAAGTTTCGGATGTCTTTCGGCCAACCACTTTCCTCTAAGTGGACAACATATTTGATAGCTTCTTGGAAAGCAGACAAGCCCTTGTCGATAAGCTCTTGTTATGTAGAAAAAATAGGTAAGTTCTTCCTTCAATATTTAAATTGTAGTGCGTTCTATTTTATCTACAGCACTTACCCAACGACCCTTGTAGTACATTAGGAATAATAGATGGTGGGCGAACTCTATAGCTATAAGCTAATATCCAGTACATCACGTGATGAATGACAAGCACGCAATGCATACTACATACATAGCGACCCTTAAGAGACTCAAGGGCTACTAAGCAGCTATTACGTAAAGAGCAAATTAAATTACTATGACGCTATCTGTAAACCCAACAAGTGTCACTTTCTTATGCATACCTAATAAATACAAGCGTAAAAGCGTACTTGCTTCAATAAACGTAGAGTGTAGCACAAGACCGAGCCCCTTAAATTATATAGTAGCACATATAAAAGGCATTACTTGTCGGGACGAGCCCACTATTGCCTGTCTATTTAATTCACATAAATTTCTGTCTGTTTTACATATGAATGATTCTATCACTATGTACATATGTATGTATATGTACTCGCATTGTGCCTTCACACTGCCGTTTAATGGCTGCCACAGTAGTATAAATTAAGTAAACATGCGCGTCCGCCACATCAATTGTATGTCCCGAACATCGCCTGTGTGAATCAACAATGCGCCAATTACATACAGGCGGCGTAAAGACGTTCATTCGTATGCTGTAAAAAGATTACTTACGGTTGGGTTAATTGAAAGAACTATTTTTAGTTGACTTGATTCATTCAATGGGCCATAGCAGTCGAACTGGTGCCAGTCACTTCACATCACACAGTAGATATTTTAATAGACGCGTTTAAAAATTAACACTATTGCATTAAATTCGTTTTGTTGCAAGTTCTGCAGGGAGATTAAAAGACTGAAACTAGGAGTTGGAAAAATATCGGCTCCTTTTGTTTCCGGGGAGGAAGATTCTGTAACCAGTTAGCGACAATTTTCGGATCGCCCATGTGTTGGCTTGCCATGTGTCGAATGAATAGCGACGCTCCAGCTCTGAAAGGACTTGGCATTTCCAATTGGCGTCAGTTGGAACAGAAGAGAAACGACTGCCATGCTTTGCTAAACTCGCCCAAAATCGCTTAGGCGGTTACAGTGCCAAATAGGAAAAGAAGACTGTCTGGGTATATATAGATATTGTTGCAAGCCATTGACTCTGTCTTTAAACATTCGGTAGCCTCATGAATAGTCGCAGGTTTAGCTTGGAAGATGCTACAGTGGTGCATGGTAGATGGGATTACTTTTGTACTCCAAGTTGCTCCGACTTTGATCTCCATTTTAGACCGTCAGTGTAGAACTGAATAGAATCTATGGGTGCGGGAAAATCCTCACTCCTGGTCTATTTAGTCACAAAATGCATCTGAAATTCCGTATATTCTCTAAATCGGAAGAGTTCAATTCTCGACTTAAAAAACTCCTTGCTACCAATATTTTCCCAATATCTTCCGCATGATTCCTGTGTTCATATGCTGACCTTTAAATTCTATTAATTCTCAGTTCTGTCACTTGTCACCCACTAGTTATTCGACTATTTGTTTTTGTCATGAACTGAACCGAAGAGTTTGTAATTTGCTAAAGACAAATTAAATGCGTCATGTCTATTTGACGTGGCAAGTGTGTATGCGTGTATGCAGGCAGGGTTCAGCTTTTACTAAATACTATGTATGTATGTATGTATGTATGCTCAGAGGGGAAGGAGAGCGTTTAAGTTTGCTTTGTTTCGAAGCTGGTGACTCGTAACAAAAACAGCGTGACAAATGAATATTTTCGCGCGCGGACTTACGCATACAGGCGTAAAACAGAAACTACGAGTATTTACTTAATTAAAGTAAACAAATGTAGTTTATACCGTGTATTCGTGTGGGAATGGCAATAGTTTGGGGTTCGCATGGCACTTAGGAGCAACAACAGCTGGTGCACTCACTAAACGTAGTAAGTAAATAATTGTTGGATGAAGTTCGCTGTTAATTAGCTAAATGGATGTTGTGATATTTTCCAAAGGTGAGTGAATCCTTATAGCTCAATGGCCACTTGGTAAACACTTTTTTAGTGATTAAATAGTTATTTTTATTTTCTTAATTCGGTTGAATTGCAAATACTGCGAAGGGCAAATATTTGATGAAAAAAACAACATTTAATGGAATTAAATTTTACTACGTATTTTATGTATTTTTTTGTAGAAAAATAAAATATTTTACATAAATTGTTTATTTTGATGAGGCTTGCGATGAGGCTATGGATAGCTCCATAAGTTATCATGTGCCGTGCTATTATTATTGCGGCCATGGACCTCTACGTCCTAAATATTCTTACAGCTATCTTCCTTGCCTTCCATGTCGTCGTCATTCATTGTTATAAACTTTATTCACGCAATATATGATAAGGATAATAATTTATTATTTTGGCTATCATAGAAAAACAGCGTCATTCAGCGGACAAAACGTGCACTCTGCGTAGGCGAGTACTATTGAAACAAAGATTCTTCGACTATATGTTAGCTCAGGTTGTCGCGGTCGTCCATAAGATACACTTAGGCTCAGGGCCCATTGTGATGCCACAGTTCCCAATTCCTCCTAAAACCATCCAATTTTAAAAGATCCCTGGTTTCCACGCATCTATGATCCTCCAACTTGTCGAAGAAAATTAAAAAGTTTTCGCCTTTATAGAGCAGCTCACTGTCACAACAGTTGCAGGATCGTTTGCTTTTCATCTCCATTTTTAAAGCTTCTACAGAAGTCATCGTAGGCCTAGTCGATAGGCATGCTCATATTATGCTCATTTAGGCTGAGTAGTAGCCCAGCGCGTTTAGCGCCACAATTTCTTGGCAGTTTTACAGGTGATTTTGTTATGCCATCTGTGTCGCGAACCCATATCACTTTTGGGCCGGCCCAATGACTCAGCCATCTCGTTGAGAGATGCACGTTTCATGGCAACCATAGATTTTGTCGCCTGCTTCGTGAGGGATTCTATTGCCGCCTGACTGTCAATGAAGATGTAGATATCAACTTGGGGTTTCATATCACACTTTATTAGCTTTGTAGCTTTGCCGATTGCCATCAGTTCCGCCTGAAAAACGCTGTAGCGGTTCGGGAGACGAAAGTTACGGGAGATTTGCACCACCACCAACTATCCCCTCCTGCTTTGAGCAATCTGTTTTTATATGCATGTAATATCCACACCTTATAGCGTGCCACTCTTTCCTTGAGAATAGGCGAGTCGTAAACGCTATAGCGGGAACAGGTTTCGGTAGTGCATAGTCAACTAATCCGGAAAGCTCCGGAAACTCCATTAGTATCTTACAGTGACCGTAAGTGGCCTCTTATTTAGAATGTTCATCCCTGCACTTGCGTAAACGAAGAGCGCCTAAGAACGCCTGTTCGTGAACAACCTGGACTTTATATTCGTCTTAAATTAACAGCTACCAATTTCAATGGTTTTAATGAACGATAGTGATTTCAGCAAGGTGGAGCAATATGTCACACCTCCGACGACTGATTGGATGCAGTTCGCGAACGTTTTGGACAAAAAGTAATATACAAAAGAAGTGACCTTAACTGGCCGCAGGCGTAGTGCCGACTTAACCCCCAATAAACTTTTTTCTTTGGGAATACCTTAAAAGTAAAGTCTTCCACAGCATCTCTTGAGGAATTAAAAGCATGTATTCGCGAGAAAATGCAAACCATTTCACGAAACACCTGTTAAGCCGTCATTGAAAGTTTCCGGTCCAGGTTGCATTGGTTATCAAAATATTTAAGACACACAAATGGATGATATAATTTTTAAAAAAACAAAACCCCTACTTGCGTACTTGCATAATAAATAAAAAACAGTTCTTATCTAATTTACAAAATTTTTTTTATCATCGTTTTAAAATTAAAAGGACTTTTGGTGCACCCTGTATTTGTGTTTCCTATATTTAACAGTTGCCTTTGTAGAACTATTTTCAGTTTAGTGATATTTTGGCAACTTGCCTACCAGAATAAGTTGTTCTTCCTAATTAGCAGGAATGTTACTCATACGCTCCGTAGTTCATCATCTAACAATTCTATTGTATTTAATAACTTCAAAGACGTGGAGTTCTTATTGAAATCAAAGTTGATGTGAGCGATAAAATGAAAGCGAAATTATCAACGCCATTTAATGAATGCTTTAGGCAAATCTTTTCTAAGAGTATCTTCTCTTTGGTAGCTGTATTAGTGAATATTTCATTAGACCTGCCATTCGAAGGCAGACGAGAAGGTGTGTTTCCAATGTAACGGAAGTCAAAGAAAATAGAATAATCGCTGCAGGCGTGCCAGATGCCGAGCTAAATTTTGAACTGTGTCATTTATTATCTCAAGTTATTTTTACCTTTTCAAAGGCCATTTTACAGCAAGTTATTTATTTATTTATAAAAAATCGCTTCAATTCAAATTCTGATCTAATGGTGATTTTTAGCTTTCGCAGGTCAGGGGGCTGATTCTGGTTCTATGAAACAGTGAAGTGAAAATGAAAAATTCAATGTCAGTGAAATTTTATTTTTTTCACTTTATCGTTTCGTTATGTAATTTTAAGCGATTTTTGATCATTAAAGGCTATTCCATCAACATCTAGCAAGTAATTATTTAGTTAATTATTGTGAGTTTAAGACGATGATAATGGACTGTAAACTTTGAGGTGGTATAAAATAAAAAGTTGCTATTACAAATATTTGCTAAAATACGTGTCTTCTTATTTTTCATAATCTCTCAGAGAAGTGCTTGAGACCCCAGCGACTGAATTTTTGTTTTCATTATATTGCACTATGTAATATAGGTTTTATGTGCTAGAAGAAAACCTATAACCTATAAACCATAGATAAAAAAGTGAAATCATTCGAGATTTTTCAGTATTTTTGGAGACTTTTGAAGATATATTGGGGTTTTTCAGATTTATTTAGGACTTTCCGCGCTTTTTTGTTTCTTTTCTTGATTTTGGAGAAAATGTTTGCCACTTTTCGAACATAGCTCTTGAGACTTTGATATTCAGTCAGAAACTCTTCCCGGATTTTTTTCGGAATGATTCAGAATTTTTTGTACGTTTTAAATTTTTTTTCTAGACTAATGAAAGACGAAACATCACAAACAAAAAATAACGAAAACAATAACAAAAATACCGTAAAAATGACAACAAGTCTAGAATGCAAGGCAAAACGAAATCAATACGAAATGCGGTGTTAAATTGAATGGGCTATAAAACTGAATACTCAAGAAAAATCTAAAAATTCTGATAAAATTTTGAAACTTTCCTCAAGATTTGATGAATATATTTTTAGTTTTCTACAAAGGTTAAAATTTAGGTTTATAGGGTTTTGGTTAGAGAATGAACTGTATTTTATTTGTCATATTTGTATTTTAATTGAAAAAAAATAAAACAAAATAAAATTGTTTTAATACACCACGTTTCTATAAATGGACTAAAAAGTAGAAAACAATATTTCGCAGTCCCATATAATTTGTTTTAAAAACTTTTGATTTTCGAATTTTAGCAAAAATCATAATAAACAATTTATGGAATTGAAAAGAAAAGCGTGGGACTGCGAAATATTATTTTTTACTTTTTAGTCCATCTATAGAAACGTGGTATATTAAAAAGTGTTTATTTTATTTTATACTTTTTAGCCTTGTCTGTGTAAGATTTTGCAATAGATCTTAAAACAATTCAACGATATTCTGATATGTATTGTATTTTATCAAATTTACTTTTTATTTATTTTCTGTTTCAACATATATATATATATATATACTTACATATGAGCAGCAATTAGTTTCATTTAAAAAATGGCGTGTTTTGCAGTTCCGCTGCAGCGTAGCGCATATTTTCAGACGCAGTAATAATAATATGGTTATTAAATATTTAACTAGCGTCCGGTGAGGTAAATGTCTAGGCTAGGTTTGCATATTATTAATATGTATATATTCTAATGTCTGAACAAACAAGATTCCGAAATGATAAAAAACTTGATAATAATAATGCAAATTAAATAAAAAAAATAACCCAGAAAAAAATTTAAAAGCACACGTGCGTGAGATTGTGTATATGTAGCTATAACTTGAGACTAATGAGAAACTTCATACACAGTGCTATGTTAAATTACCCAGTGACTTGAAATCAATTTTAAGTCCACTTGTGCAGCCCTCTTACGCGTACACTTCCAAGTAAATGAAGGCACGCCAGACATAAAGCAATTAATAGCGTTTGTAAATACATAGTCGACTTGTTGCGTGAAGAATAAGCGCGATAAAAACTTGTATTACTAAAGGAAAAAGCAAACTATAAAAATTGATTTTTATAGCATGTATAGCTGCAGAGAGTTATAAATTGCGGACAAGTATTTTTGAAATGAATAAAAACTTAGGTCCAATTTCAGATGTGCAATTTAAGTGCCGATTGATGAGTATCCATTTTCAGATTAAATACATATTTAAATACCCAATGCCGGCTTTTTAAATATGGAAAGTTAACCCTGATTTTGAATACGAATTTATATTTGGCCCTTACAGAGATACTTAATTAAATATTACTTTAAAGTTTTTTGATATTCGGAAAGTAAGAACTTACTCAATATCGACTTATGCTTCACAGAAGTAAGAAAAAGGACTTTAAATGAAAACGAGTGTGATTGAAGCTCCCTCATGACATATCTTAACGTTGCTAATAGTTTCTGTTTACTATTCCCATTGCCTCAACCAAGCACTCTGGTTTTAGACTTAAATTGACACACCGAAGCTTGTTACTCTGAAAATCATGTTCGTTAATTTTTTCCCATGTATCTTGTTTGTGTAATACTATTTTACACAAACAAAATATATTAGCAAAATTACCGAACACCGAGTTAACGAGTACCAAGATCGGTGTGAAGACCCATATCGAAATTCTTGTAAACATATCAACTATAAAGTATGGACAAAATGACCTTGTAAATTTACATGGCCTATCGTTTGCAGAGCTGACAGCGAACTCGGGTGGTAGGATTAGGTGAAGAACACTGGATCGGAAATTTAAATTTTTTTTGTATTAAAAAATTAATTTAGCTTACCACATCATTGAACATAAATTCGGTAGCCCAAAATAGGAGCGTGTGAAAGGACACTAAGAATTGTGCTGAAATTAACAAACACAAATGAAAATTAAAAAAAACAAAAACAAAACAATCTTCAATTCTCATATAAAAACTTATGAGTATCGTTAACTTCTTCATGATCCAATAATCGAATCTAAACCAAATTAGTATGCGACAATCGCTGAGGTACAACCATTCCTTTAAAAAAATTATAGAAATCGGTTAAAGTGGTCTAAATTTATGCGATAACATTCATAAACAAAAAACAAATAAAATATACCGATGAATTGATAACCTCCTCCTTTTGGAGTATCTAGTAGATACTATCTACCAACAAGAAAAAGTCAAAATTTCAAAAGTTACTCGTACTCACCAATTGCCGTACGCGTGCGCACATTTCGCGAATATGCCATCGGATATAGTATGGCCCAATAACGATCCACCGATACGGCCACCAAGCAGAAAATGGAAATTGTGCACAACACCACCAACAGTGAAACGGTGAAGAGGCAGGTATACAAATCTCTTGGCAAACCCACCGATGCCAGCACCGCAAATGGCACACCCAGCGAGCCGACCAGAAAGTCTGCCATCGCCAAAGAAACTATATAATAATTTGTACGACGACGAAGTTTGCGTTCGCGTTGAAAAACCACAATTACCATAAAATTGCCGACAACGGCAAAAATCGCAACTAATATCTCGAAAACCATGTACGGCACATTCAAGTCATCGGACATCTCATTGTCGGCCGGTGTGCTCTTTGTCGAAAGCGTGATGGGCAAGGTGAAGAGCGTTGAGTCATTGGCGCGGTACTGGAAATCGGTGAATGAGAAGAAACGAAACTCGGACATGTTGAAAGGACGAATGTAGTAGGTGCCGACTGTAAGAAGAAAGCAGCTCTGAAGAAAATACGTTTTATGGTTAATGAAAACTTAAAAAGCTGCTAATTGGTGATTTGTTGTTTTTTTTTTTGGTTCAATTGGCTTTTATAATATGCTCGATTTTTGTTGATCTCTGGCAACTGCTATTCGTTTTTGACCACTTTAAGCAACTATGCGATTCACTGAAGCGGGCGGAAGCGCTTGGTTTTGCAAATTAGTTTGTACAAGAATTTCAATTGGCACGTTATGGCGGTATGATCAGCACCGCTGAGTACTTATTTACAAAATGTATGTATGTATCTACTATGTTGCTTTGTTAGCTGTAAGGATATTTCACGTAGATTGTTTACACGCGTGCATGCCATTTGGAGTCGCTCACTTTTCTACATTTAAATGCTTCTCCTTTGCTGTTTTTTTTTTGAAATATACAATTTTTGTATGCAGTTTTGTTTATTTTGTGCTCACTATTGAGTTGTTTTCATCTCAACATGTGCCATTTTTCAAGCTTTAACGTGGTGTCATGTTCTTTACAACTTGTAAAATGGGATTGCATTATCTTAGCGTTGCTTTTGCGCTCTTTATTGTTGTTGTTTTTGGTGAATTTTTTTATTGTTGGTTTAACCTTCACAAACAAGTTGTTGAAGTGATGCTTCAGCGCCCTTTTCGCGCATGCACTTTTTTCTTTTCTTGCTGACAGTTTTTCCAATTGCAATCGGTAAAATTTCAACACTCGCAAGGAAAGTGCCAAATTCATAACAAATTTACACGTTTTCTCATTTTTTACTTTTATTGACAATAGCTGATTGCTGGCGCGGTATATGGCGGCCATATTGCACGTGAACTTTTGCGAAAGTTTATGGCTTACAAGCGCGCTGTGACGTGATCTGTAAGTGAAAAAGGAAGGAAATTAACTATGTAGAAAAATGTGATTTGTTATAAATTATCTATGGATTTTCTTATTGGTTTTGTTATCGATTATTTATCGATTTTGTTATCGGTATTGTAATCGATATTGTTATCGATTTTGTTAACGATTTTTTTTATCGATTTTGGTATCAATTATTTATCGATTTTGTTATCGATTATTTATCGATGTTGTTATCGATATTTGTATCGAAAGTAAGCTTTTTCAAGCATTTGCATAGGTAGCCTTGGTTATCAGGCTGCTGGACAATAGTTTCCCTGTACAAGTACATCCCTGCTTCCACAACCTTTCAAAAAAAAAAACTAAAAATAACTAAAAATCGCCATTTTAACTTTAATATGAACTTCATTATCTCACCCAGGTCCGCTTTGGGGTATTTGGTAAATTTTATGAAATATGTTTAGTTAGTTAGATGCTTGGTGAATTTAGTTACAGCAAAGCACAAAGGACACCGCGACCTAGAAGATCTGTATCCCCAACCATGACAGCCCAAGGTACTATTCGTTCTACTAATAAATGCTGACAGTTCAAGTGGTTCAGCCTTAGTTTGTCAATATGTACCTATAATTCTGCTAGGTATTTAGCTGAAGGCAAGTTTTAGCTTCGCAGTATTCTGGCGAGATCCTCTCAAGAGTTACGGACGAGTGTTGTAGAGCTTTGAAGATAGGCCTAGAAGAAGGTAAAATGAAATGGAAAATCCATGTTTTCATCTTAAGATTACCTATTCTGAAGCTATGTATTTTAAGAGACCTATGATACGTAAACACAGAACTTAGGTTAAATTTTGCTACTTTCATAGATTAAAACTAGCGTTCACAAATCGAGTGACGTATATTTTAATGAAAGCGTGTTCACAGCCATTCAGGAGGCTAGAACAAACTATAACCAAACTTTAGTGTCTATGTGTGATATGAAAGCTATTTCTTTTCCAGAGGACGGTAATTCAAAACCTCAATTACTATATTTATAGTATTCAAAAAATAATTTATCGACTTGCAAATAAATTGACAGATGACACATTTCCGGCTCTGACTCTGTGCGAATGAAATTGGTTGGTTGGTTGCAGTGCTTCTTAGAAGCTGGCGTTTTTGATGCACTTATCGTGAGAACTGTGTTGTCTATGTACATTCTACATGTGTATGTAGCCTGGACGAACCATCCACGAAAATCTTCCATTTGTTAGCCCCTTAAAATGCTTTTGATTTTTTTCGTAACTAACATTAAATTTACGGGTTTTTAAGACGGGTTTTTTTCGCGAGCATTACAAAATATAAATTAAGCTTCACTGAAGCCAGAAATAGAAAATATTTGACATCGGTTTTTAAACTAATCGAATGCACTATCATTGTTATTATAAAGCAATAGAAATATGTACATATGTACATACATACTACGTACATATGTATGTATCGAGTTAATGTGCTACGCCAACCCAGCATATCAGTGCGTATGAGTAACATACCTAAACTGACTTGGCTTCGCGTATTTACATATTTCAATTAGCAATTATTCCAGAAGAAAAATACGTGCTAAAAGAGCATAAATAAAATTTCACATTCTAATGTGAATTCTAAGAAAAGGCTAATCTATGTATACACATACATATATAATACGCGTCCAAGACAAATGATCTGTACCGTTCGCCCGATTTTCAAAAGAGAGATGTCAAATTAAAGCGGTTGGTCTGTCGATGTGCAAACTGGTTTTAATTTTTCGAATCGAGAGTTGCCACCTTTTAAAAAATTATATTCAAATTCTTTAAAAGAGTAAATCAATTATTACAAAATGGGTATCGATCGAAATGATTTTAAAAGGCCTTGTTTCTTAGCTGAACTATAGGAGGGTTGCCACCTGTTTAAAAAATATATAACGTAAGAGAAATATAAATCACCATGTGGGTGCCAAACGAAAGAGGTTCCAGAAAGTTTGAAAATATTTTGAAGAGGTTTGCCACCTGCTTGAAATGACGAATTTAATTCACTTATACACAAGTTATATAAAAAATAACAAAATATGGATATCAAACGCAGTATTAAGAAAACTTTAGTTTGAATGCTAAGAATATTTTTGAGGTGCTGGAGGATTGCCACCTATCTATTTCAAAATTAAATTTAAATTCTTTAATAAGTTAAATGTATTATTAAAATATGGATAACAATCGAAGTGGTTTGAAAATTTTTTATTTCTGAACTGTATTTAGCGGGGTTGCCACATGTTTGAAAAATCAAATTCCACTTAATTGACCAGTTAATTAAAATATGTATCGCAATGCCCGGCGAAGGAGAGGTACCAAGTACTAAGCTTGAAAATACTTTTGAAGAGGGCTGCCGTCTGTTTGAAAGGTCTAACTCATTTAACTACTACAAAAAGTATATGAAATATAAAAATACCGTAGTCAAACAAAAGAATGTTAAGAAATCTTTAGTTTGAAGATTTGGAAAATTTGAAGAGGGTTGCCACGCGTTTAAATAGTTACATTCAAATTATTCAATAAGTTTAATGAATTTTAAAATATGACTAAAAATCGAAATAGGTTTGAAAAGGCTTTATTCCTGACCTTTATTTAGGAAGGTTACTATTTGTTCGAACAACAAAATTAAAATTAGTTCATCAGTTTATTGTTTATTGAAATACATGGGTACCACAATGTCAGACGAAAGAGATTTAAGAAGATTTTAGTTTGAGAATACTTTTGAAAAGGAATTTCGTAATTGAGAGGTCAAATTAAAGACCTTAGCCTGTAGATGTGTGATTAAGTTTTATTATTATTTTTTTTAATTACGAACTTTTTCATCGGTACAGGGTGATTTGAAATTTGATAAAATTAAAAAAAAAACGCATTATGCGAGTACCCTCTTCTCTCTTATAACTCTGACAAACATTTGGAATATTTTTTAAGTTTTTGCAACTCAATTTTGGGCGCTTTAACGTCATGTGGGCACACTAGTTCTTCAAAATACCTTTAATAGTACGTATGTATGTATTTATGTATGTATGTACCGCTCTTCTGCATTGGAATGTTACATAATATTTGTATGTGTGTATATAAATATCAAATTAGCTTTTAATCTACTATCTAACAGCGGAAAACATTTTCATTTGCAGCGCTTTAATGTATTTATTTATGTAGGCCTTACTTTGGCTGGTTCAAATATATTACTCATACATCGTGATGTCAACCTTTTTTGATTTTGAGCACATACTAAGAGTGAATTTTCACTTTTGGCAGGCTAATCGATTTTTTTTTGAATAATTGCTAATTGCAAGAATAATGCCAAAATAAATATATAAGCGGATGATAATGAGATATGCGAAATTCAAAAGTAAATAACCACATATGACTAAAACCATTTAGAACTAGGCGATTTGCGTAATGAAAAGCATTCTTGGAAATATGAAAAATTCATACATATACATACATACATATGTGTTCATAGAATATTATTTTTCTGCGTCAGCTCTGAAATTATATTACTTTTTAACCGACTTCAAAAAAGTAGAAGATTATCAACTCGTCGGAATATATTTTATTTTTTTTTTTTATGTAGGCTACCGCTTAACTTTGGACCACGTTAACCGATTTCGATTTATTACAGGGTGGTCCCGTACTATGTTTGTTTAGATCCGATAATTGGATCGTGAAGAAATGACCGGTACACCTAAACCTTTATATGAGAATTGAAGTCGGTTGTCTACTTTAGTCTTAGCTTTCTTTCAGAAAGTCAGATAAAAATATTTCAGTCTTATTGAAATAAATATTTCATCAATTGGAACTATTAATAACTGACCATATTGTTGAAGCTGACAAATTACTTTCCAATCTGTCATCAATAAGCGAGGCATAAATGTACATACATACACTCCTACAATGTATGTATTTTGTTTATATTGGATAGCCAATAAGTTTTGCGTGTATATTTTGTTAAATAATAAAGCATAGAAAAAGGAATTTGGCAGGAAATTGATTGCTTATAATCCGCCATAGATTAATGATAAAGGCAACAAATATTTGTTTAGCTTATAGATATATCCGATAACCACTTGATAGTCATGATCAACGTCACAATAATCGCAAGCACGTGTACTCGCCATGTACCTAAAGTAGATAAACAACATGTGTTGAGTATATTTATCTAAAAATAATAGGTAAATTGCAAAATTGCAAAAATGACTAACTGTGTGCACGATTATGAAAACAGGGCAATGCGTGTTGCATGCTTAT